AGGGTTTAGTCTATAACAAACTTTATAGAATATTTTACACATGATAGAAAACATAAGGCAGCTGACATTTACTTAAAAGGAGGAAATGATATGTGAATTCTGAAGATGAAAAAAATTAGAAACTGAAACTCCATGAGGGCAGGCATCATGTCAGCTCACCACTGCCTACTCAGTGCCAGCCAGTGTCCCTGGTTGGCAGGCAGGCTCTTGGTTAATGTATATTGAATAAGCGAATATGTATTTTTAAGCAAGTTGAAGAGTGCCTTGAAGAAGATAATTTATTTGGGCAGAGATCAGATGCAAAGGCTTGAGAAAATATTAGGAGGTAGGAATGACTGAAGCTGTGAGAATGAGCAGGAAGGTTCTGTGAAACTGGCTGCTTTTTAACAGTAGGCTGGGGTCAAATTATAAGCTGCTTTGATTGCTGGATTTAGGAATTTGGGATTTGTTTTTTATTTATTTTATTTTATTTATTTTTAAAAAAATATATATTTTATTGATTTTGTACAGAGAGGAAGGGAGAGAGATAGAGAGTTAGAAACATCGATGAGAGAGAGTCATCGATCAGCTGCCTCCTGCACCCCCCCTACTGGGGATCTGCCCGCAGCCAAGGTACATGCCCTTGACCAGAATCGAACCCGGGACCCTTCAGTCCCCAAGCCTACACTCTATCCATTGAGCCAAACCGGTCCCGGCTGGGATTTGTTTTTTAAATGTAAACTTTTGTGAATAGATGGTAGCATTGTTAAAGTGTTGCTTCAGGAATGCAACCTGAAGACATAGTGCAGGCTGCAGTGAGGAAGAGTCTAAAGACCAGCTTTGAGACCAGTTGTTATGTTGGATAGGAATTCTTGGAGAGTGATCATGTTTAGTAAAATTATTAATGTTTCTTTATATGTAATATATTACATAAAAGTGCTTTTTAAATCCTAGTGATTGAACATAATGACATGGCTATCTTTTTCAGTATTTATTTAATTTTCCATGACATTTTGTTATTGATTTTGTTGGCTTTTCTATGAGATCATGGTATAAATTTTGAATACATTTGTTCTTCCCTTATTTGCCTCTTGTTAATGTCAAGCATAGCACATGAGACAGTCCTTGTTGCTATGCAACTGCTAAATCCAATATTTAATATTAATAAAATTGAGTGGCATTAAGTTCAGTTAACAGAGGGTAGCAAAATATGGCTTTATAGTGTCAAATCAATAATATCTGTGAGATTTAATGTATTGTTGCAGATATGAGCAAAAGAAAAGTGACTTTAGTGTTTTGATCAAATACTAGCTTTATGACCAGATTTTTTAATTGTTTCATTTCCTTCTTCCCCTTTCACTGCTTTTTGCTGTTATTTGGTTTTTATTATTGTCTATTGTGTTATTGATGAAGGTTTTTTTCCCCCTGTTTTCTTATTCTTTCAGGTTCCATTGTCCTTTGTAATTTTTAAAATTTGATCTTCTAAAGCTTTGTTTTATTTTTCTTTCCCAATCTTAGTTCTTGCTGTATTTACATTTTTCCTTTTCAAGAATTTATGGTTAGCATACAAGTTTGAATTTGTTATGATTTCTCATAAACCCAGGTGCAAGCAAATTAGATTTGCTCTTCAGGATAAGAGCCACCTGTAATCTCATTTAGCTATTTGCAGTGTGTACTTCGCACTTTCAAGATACTGAAATATTTGTAAAATCAACTCCCTTTTGGGGGGGGGGCGGGTAGGAGAGTTTTAGATTAGAGGCATCCTATAGCCTTTTTTTAAAGGCTAGTGTTGGGAATATCTAGTTTGCAGAGATAGATTATATCTAGCAAGTCCTTTTCTTTCTCTTCCCTACCACTGCCTCTTCACTCTCAAAAACCTCAGTGCAACCCTTTCTCCTTTCTAGGGTGGGGAAGAAAGATCATAATAATTTAGTAGAAAATGTTTTAATTGTAGCAGGCAAATAATAAACAGGCATACATACTTCCCAGTTTCTTAAATATAATTTTGATGGGAAAGAACTAAGAATTTAAAAACCAATTCTAGTGGAAAATCTAGAATCTAAAAAATAATGCAGAAAAATCAACTAACTACAATGTAGATAACACAAACTCTAAAGATTACTCTTTTAATTATGGTTTAATGCTAAGGACAAAGAAATTCCTAAAATAACAATGTTATTCTTATATCCAGATAAAATACTGTTCTCAGGGACCATCTTATCTGATCCCTTACCTTCCAATCCTTTTATGGTAATTGAATTTGTGGTAAGGAAATGCAACATGTGTGTGAACCTCAGGTATTCCCTGTCTATAGTATTAGGTTTAGTAATAATTAATGTCGTTTTCTAATACCTTTTTTAAATCGAATTTATGTAAACAATACAACAAAATTTAATCAACAATATAGTTGCCGTTGTTTTCTACTACTTGTGCCCAACGCTCAGGAAGCATTTTAATCCCTCTGTTGTAAAATTCTTGTGATTTTGATGCAAAAAATTCGGTCAATGCATTTTTGAGGCATTCTTCATTATTAAATTTTTTTCCAAGAAGAAAGTTTTGCAAAGAACGAAACAAATGGTAATCGGAAGGGGCAATATCAGGAGAATATGCAGGTTGAGGGAGAACTTCCCATTCCAACTGGCGCGGTTTTTCAGCAGTGATTCTTGCAGTATGCGGTCGTGCGTTATCGTGGTGAAGAATTACGCCCTTCCGATTAATCAGCGCGGATTCTTTTTCTCTTAAAGCTTGGGCTAACCTTTCCAATTGGGCACTATACACTGCACTTGTAATGGTTTAGTTAGATGGTAAAAGTTCATAATGAAGAATTCCTTTAAAATTCCATCAAACACACAACATCACTTTTTTCGCACGCAAGTCAGGTTTTGGTGTGGGCTGCGGAGCCTCATTTTTGTCCAACCATTGAGGCCGCCTTTTCAAATTAACATACAGCTCCCATTTTTCCTCTCCGGTAACAGTTTGCTCTAAAAACGGCAAACGGTTTTGACGAGAGATGAGCCAACTGCAAATTGTGACTCTTTGATTACGGTTGTTGTCGGTCAACTCATGAGGAACCCATTTTCCAAACTTTTGGACTTTGCCAAGTGCACGCAATTGATTGGAAATTGTTTTTTGTGAACAATTTAAAGTTGTCGCAAGCTCCTGTTGGGTAATTTGAGGATTTTGCACCAAAAGAGCTTGAAGAGCTTCTTGATCAAAATTGGACACACGGCCTCGACCACTCTTGTCATCTAACGAAAAATTTCCCTCGCGAAATTTCTCAAACCAACGCTGGCATTTTCTGGCGCTAACTGCATCTTGACCAAGAGCACTACAGATGTTTTTTGCAGCCTCACTTGCTTTTCTTCCTAATTGGAACTCGTAAAGCATGCAGTGCCGAATATGCTCTTCATCCGCCATCTTCTTAGCCCTAGTTTTGCAACAAAAACCAAACCAAACACAAACTTTTTCAAGCAAAACTTGTTAATTGCACTTCACACGTTCTGTAGATACCACGTGTTTGAAGGTTAAGTCAATACAAGTCAACGCCAAGCAAGATTTTAAACGAATGTTTAAAAACGACATTAATTATTACTAGACCCGATAATTTCTGAGAGAGGAAGAGAGGGAGGGCCATAAGGAAGGAAGGGGGGAGAGAGAGAAACATCATTTGTTTGCCTTCCACATGGACAGGACAGAAACACAACCTGGATATGTATGTGTCTTAACCAAGAATTGAACCCACCACTGACAGACATTCCAACTGCGCCACACCAGCTAGGGCCTGGCTATCCTATATAATAAAAGTCTAAAAAAAGAAGAAAGGAGGACAGGAAAACATCAGTGATGAGAGAGAATCATTGGTCAGCTGCCTCCTCCAAGCCCCACACTAGGGATCAAACCCTCAATCCAGGCATGTGCCCTGACCAGGAATTGACCTCTGATTCATAGGTCCACACTCAACCACTTAGATACTCTGGCTGGGCTCCTTTTTAAATTCTTTATTAGAGAGTGGAAGGGAGGGGAGAAAAACATAGAGAAACCTCAATGTGAGGCGGACACATCAATTGGTTGCCTCCTGCATACAGCCAACTGGGCTGGGGATCCAACTTGCAACCTAGGTAGGTGCCCTTGACTGGGAATTGAACCTGAGACCCTTTGGTGCATGGGCCAATGCTCCAATCACTGAGTTGCCCTGTCCAGGGCTCTCATATTTTTGTATGTATAATTAGTGGGTTTTAACTTCATAAAGGAACCAGTAAATAGTTAATTGTGTCAATGTAAATAATGGTATTTTTCTGTTAAAATGTTATATAGTTGCTTGTAGTGATATTTATTGGTGTTCTCAGGATTTTTCTTCTTCAAAAAACTATTAGGTTGGCCCAGCTGGTGTGGCTCAGTGGTTGAACATACCAGATCTGTGAACCAGGAGGTCACAGTTTGATTCTGAAAGGACACATGCCCCATTGTGAGCTCAAACTCTAGTATGGAGTTTGCAGGAGGCAGCCCATCAATGATTTCCCTCTCGTCATTGATATTTCTCTCTCCCTTTTCTTTCCTCTCTCTGAAATCAATAAAAGCATATTAAAAAAAAACCTATTAGCTTAAAAATGTGTTGTCTCAGTTGATTTTAAAAACATACTATTTGATTAATTTAGAATGTTGTGGAAACTTTGAAGTAGTTTGACTTAGACTTTGAGTGTTTTTATAATGAAGTATTTGGGATTTTGGAAGATGGTAAGAGAACCCATGAGTTTCCATTCCTTACTAGTTATTTCTAGCATTGTCTGTTTTATGTAGTTCTTGAATGTGCTCTGAATTTGTATTGAATATTAATCATTGACAAAAAATGCAAAGCCTCTTTTTAAGATTTGTCATTGACACTCTTCCCTTAGCATCTCTTCAATAATAATCTATGGATCCTTGAGAAGTGGAGGAAAACCCCATCATTTTCTCATTTGATAGATTAATATTAAACTACAAAAAGGAATATTATAATAATGGATTTTTTTCCATCCTTTCAGGGTTTGAAAGTATTCTTGAGGGGCTGTTTGGACCTGCATTTTTAAAAGATCTCAGTTTACTTAAAGGTATTAAAAAATATTTTTTTTAATTTAAAAATCATCCTAGATTACATGATACCTTAGTGATTTAAGCCTCTGTCTTCTCCTTTTTATTCAATTTTGTGGGTTAAAGCTATATCAATATAAGCATCTTTTTGTGTTAATAATGCAAAATATATGTATGAATAAGGTATATTAACTAGTGAGCAGTATTTAAGATTTTACATAAGTAGGAACCTGTCTACTATTAAGTAAATAAATTTTTGTTAAAATAATATTTTTGACATTCTTATTTGTTTCCTGAAAAATTATCATTTGTGACTTTTAATTTGTCATTTCTACTATTTTTGCAGACTGTGAACCTGAAAGCATTTCTGATTGGACTTTTGATGAAAATTGTCTATTCTGTTGCTTGAGAAGAGATAAAGTAAAGGTAACCAAGAAACTCAATGAAATTTGTCTAGTGCATTTTATAGTTTTTATTTTTTTCAAAATTTGATTACTTTGGTGGAGACTTGTAGGAAAAGAAAGGTATGAGCCTGTATCTTCATATAAGGCTAAGTGACTGTCCGACTGGCCGGTATATATGACCACACACTGACCATCAGGAGGCAGACGCTCAATGGAGGAGCTGCCAAGCTGCAGTGACTTGGCACCCCAGAACCAGAGAAGTGGGAGCCTGACTCCTCATGGGCTGCACAATTCCACCTTCGGCTGTGGGTAATGTTGTTACTGGAGCACTGTCGCCCAGAATCTGGTTTACTGCCGAGCTGCTGTAACTGCAGACACCCTTCGAGCTGTGGCATGGTGCTGCCCCAAGGGCAGCTGGTGGGGAAGGACCAAGAGAGGCTGGCTCTAGGGCATGTTCAGTCCAATTCACCCAGTCACGCTCCACCAGCCACCTTCTAATCTATTTCCTTTCAATGTGCACAAATCTGTGCACCTGGCCACTAGTCCTATCTTATTATATAAAGAGGGAGTATGCAAATTGGCCATCACACCGTCACAAAGATGGCGGTGTCCAGTCCCCTTAGCCCTACTATTGTCCCCCAGTCCTTTTAGCTCTGCTGGGGGGTAGGTGGTAGTTAGTGGTGCGGCTTGGTCACAGTCCCACAGTCTTTTCAGCCCAGCCAGGGAAGGGGGGCAGCTGGCCCACGGTGCGGCCGGACCCACCCTCAGCCCCCCTAGCTGTCCAGGGCCGGCTCAAGGTGTAGGCAAGCCCAGCCACCCAGGGCCCCCTGAGGCTCATGTAACCAGAGCCGGTGGCGGAGGCTTGCACTGCTGGCAGTGGCAGCAGCAGAGGTGTGATGGGGGCGTCGCCTTCCCCTGACCGCCAGGTCGCCTCCCACTTCTGAAGGCTCCCTGACTGTGAGAGGGGCCAGCTGAGGTGAGGGATTCCCCCCTCCAGTGCATGAATTTTTATGCACCAGAGCTCTAGTTTACTTATAAAAGATTTGATAGTAGATCAGCTGCAATTTAGTGTTTCTAGTCTGCTGATTAGCCTTTTGAGAAATCTATAGTCCAACATGTGTTGCATTTATTCATATAGTTTACTAGGCAGAATATCTGACTTGGTGTCAGTTAATTATTCTGTCTAGTTATTTATTTTAAATATGAAGTGTATGGTAATTCAAGTAATGGGAGTCATTTGGTCAAAAAAAGAATAGCACATGGATCTGGATCAAGTAACTACTAATTTATGTAGATTTATGATAGATTGTGATTTATTCTTTAGTATAAGATGTTTCTTCATAATATTTGAGTATGATTGCTCTTTATATTCAACTGCAGAAATTGGCTGTAGCTTTTGTTTTGTGTTAAATAAAAACAAATAGAATTTTGGTTTAAAAACGTTTCAGTTGTTGGAAAAATTTATTAGTAGCGGTTTTCTGTCTTATGTTTCTTTTCATGGTATGTCTGTTCCCAGTTTTAAAGCTTTGAAAACATTTTTAATTCCTTCCTCTGCCTTGTATATGTCTAACTTTACAAGATTATATCAGTTGTTCCCTCACCAAATTTCATCCCCTCCCCCATCCCCTTTCATCATTGTACTTCAAGCTTTTAGCATTATTTCTCAACTCCTGAAATAGCATGATTCGTCCCTCAGTTGTCTTCAGTCTGTTAAACACTGCTACAGCCTTGACCCTCACCCCTCCACAGTGTGGGAATGTTATCCTATACTGAGTCTCCAGTGAGTTTCTCATTGTCTTCTGGGTCCATTAGTCTCACACTCAGTGACTCAGTACCCTCCACAGCTCATTTTTCGTTCTAATGCTGTCCCACTCGTGTTCTATATGTTTTTCTTTTAGCTCAGCTGGTCTGATAATTTGTATTAAACAGCATGCTTTTACTATTTGGACTACAGCATTGCACGCCTGTTATTCTCAATAGCTTGGATCTCCTTGCTCTTACTCTTGCGTAAGCCCCTCCTTTCCTATGCTCTAACTGCTATTTCAATCCTTCACGCTGTTGCAGTAAATATGATCTATACCAATTATTTGTCATTTACTACTCAGTATTATTTCGTCCATCCTTTTCTATGTTTGACTCTTGTGTTCCTGACTATGTTGTCAACCTCTGAAGACTGTGAGCCATGTTGTATGCTTCTTTTTACCCTTGCATGTAGCCTTGTACCACCATTGTTGACAAGTGCATTAAAATCTGAAAGCAGTTTTAAGAGCTTCTTACTTACTATTCTTTTGTGGCATATTTTTTTCTGCTTACTACATGAAAAAGTTTTTGTACTATTCACGGTGGTCTGTTTTCATTGAATTAATAAGGAACGTGTTTTGAAATTTAGTGTGGTTTGAAAAAGAGAGACCAGAAAATTAAGCAACTGCCAATGAAGTTGAAGTTCATCATTTTAAACTGTGTGTGTTTGTGTTGGTATGTTGTGACTATTTACCAAGCAAGTCATTTAATAAGTGTTTTGGTAGAATAGAAGCAACTACTGCTTACTTTTTTTTCAGGGTGGTATTAAGCAAAAAGCCTTCTATGTTTAATAGTTGAGTATAGTACATTCTTGTAATGTGATTGAGTTTTCCATTGGTATATGACGGTGAAATATTTACTGAATATTTTTAGAAGAAAATACATAAATAGCAAAGTATGGATTCCTGTAGTATTTAAAACAGCTCTACAATTTTCTACAAACTGTTCTACAATTTTTAGTTGGTTTCTAATTAGAATATTTCCAGTTGACAACACATTTAGTTTTGGGAAAGATGTTTTTCACCCTTAGACACTTCACTACCTGTACTTGGTTTATTTTTTTTCAGAGACAGCCATAACATTTATAATGGAAAATAGGAAGAAAAAGAGCCTATCCCTAGCTGGTTTGGTTCAGTGGATAGAGTATTGGCTTGCGGACCCAAGGGTCCTGGGTTTGATTCCAGTCAAGGGCATGTACCTCAGTTGCAGGCTCCTCTCCAGTCCAGGCTCTGGTTAGGGCACATGCAGGAGGCCACCAATCGATGTGATTCTCTCACATTGATATTTCTCTCTGTCTTTCCCTCTTTCTTCGCCTTTCTCTAAAAGTCAGTGGGAAAATGTCATCCGGTAGGGGTGGGGAGTGGGGGGGGGGGGGGAGAGAGAGAGAGAGAGAGAGAGAGAGAGAGAGAGAGAGCGCGCGCTTGATTGAGATTGAGAGAGCGAGCGCCTAGAAAATGAATTGTCAAGCATATATCTTCAGTTTCGTTAGATTTAAAGTGATTGTGCTAGAACTCTTTGCAGGCACTTGTAGCATTTCATCTGAGAAGGACTGTACTCCACTGGCTTGAGGCTTGCACTTTAAGGCTGTTTTAGGATTCCAAAAAAAGAAGGAAATATCTGGAGGGTATGGTAACAGCCAATAGGTGGCAGCAGAGCATGCTGTTGGAATCTTGTCTGATTTTTTCTGTGATGAGAAAATCTAGATAATGTTTGGAAGAGCTGTGCATTTTTTTAGTTACTTGATTTTTTAGTAGATACTGAAGCTGTTACAATGGCTAAAAATTATATACTATTATTTATATTTTTTAAAAATGTAGGTGAAAAATATAAATTCACTTCTTACAAAAATAGAACCAGGGATTCACCTGCAGATTAATAAAACAATTGTTGATTTGCAATTCAGGATCCTGCAATAGTTAGAAAATACAGTTGACCCTTGAGCCACATTCTTAATAAATCTTCATGCATCAGGCTTCTAGTATTCTTAATAAATTTTAATAAAAAAGAAACCAAACAAACCCAGTGGTACATCTACACAATGGAATACTATGCTTTTGTAAAAAAGAAGGAACTCCTACCATTTACAACATCATGGATGGACCTAGAGAGCATATGCTAAGCAAAATAAGTCAGTCAGAGAAAGATAAATATTATATGATATCACTCATTTGTGGAATCTAATGAACAAAATAAATGGATGGGCAAAAACAGATCTAGAGACAGAGAAACATAGATAGGATGCTCAAACCTCAGAGGGAAGGTAGAGGAGGGTGGGGATAAGAGGGAGAGATCAAAGGACTTGTATGCATATAAATATAACCATGGACCCAGTTACAGGGCGGGGGGGAGGGTGAGGGCATGATCGGGGGAGGGTGGAAATAGGGAATAAGGACACATATGTAATACCTTAATCAATAAAGAAAAAATGTTTAAAAAAAAGTCTACAGAACCTAAGGTCCCTGATCCTCCACCTCTGGTGTGGGAAGGCTCGTCAACTAGAGAAAATGGGGCTAACAATCCTTTTTCAAAAGGACTCCTTAATGCTTTGTCTGAAAATTATCATATGACTCCTCAGGACTGGCATACGATTTTAGACACCAGTCTCTGTTATGGAGAACAGAATATAAGATCTGTGGTTGAGATCTAGGCTACCTCTGGCTGTAAGTCACAGACAATGTAGAGCATTTGAAAGATCCATGAAAATAACTGATTTATTAAGTCTTGTTTATATGTTATGCTCACTTGTAAATATCGTATATATGAATGTTGATTGTTGTTTTATCTGTCTTTGTTGTTTGGTTTAATTTATTGTTAGTCTATTAAGCATGCCTCTGATTTATCGTCATAGAAAAGAAACAATAGGTAGTCAGGACCATTACTGACTTTCCCCAGAGCAAACAGAATGTGGGGATGGGGAGAAAGGAACAAAAAAAAAGAATAAAAAAAAAAAAGAATAGTTTATTAAATGAGTATCATTTTTTTCTGGCCATGGGTATAGCTCTCACTTCTTTTGTTCAAATCCAGTGTAATATTTCCCCCTGAACCCACTGTGTTTTCTTCTAAGGGTTTTAGAGTTTTAGGTGTTTGGTCCATTTTGAGTTGATCTTTATATGTGGTATAAGGTAAAGATCCAACTTCATGCTTATGCATCTGGATATTCAGTTCTCTCCACGTGTTAGAAAATAATGTCTTTGCTCCTGGCACCCTTATCAAAAATCATTT